GACAGGAGTAAGGCGTGGTGACGCTGCTGGGTGCATCTGGAAGGTTCTCAAACACCTGTGTGCAGGAAGGCTTGGCTGGAGCCGTGTTAGGCAGAGGTAGGGGTCGGGTGACTTTCTCAGAGGAGCTGAGACAAAGGAGTTGCAGAGCCGAGATCTGAGCTCCAATCTCCAGACGTGCGGTCTGTGGATCTGACCGCCACACCCCCAGATTGAACTTCCAGTCACAAACCCGCCCTCTCGGGCTTGTTTTGTTGTGCTTTGTCTGGGAGGGGGGCGAGGAAGGAGGGCCTCTCTCCGAGCTGGTGTTGACGTAAACCGTGCCTGCCGGTGTTCACTGGGAGCCCGCTGCCGACCAGCTGTTGAAAGGGCCTTGGAGTAAACACACCCCCTGGCTTCAGGGTTGCATTTCAGACTAAAAGAATTTCGAACTTCTCCTCTGTCTTGTTACAAATGTGTATTTTGGCTCCAGTGGAAGGATCCTCGGTCTCTTCTAGAAGGTCCCTTTTCTTGCCTGTGCCTGTGAAGGGCAGCGTGGACATTTATTGAAAACTACCACTTGCCATCACTTTGTGGAGGCCACCTGGTTTAATGAGACCTTGTTCCAGGAAAAAAAAAATTGCGGCAAGGGGCCCTGGCTGGTTTGGCTCATCGGTTAGAGCCTCGGCTCAAGGACCGCAGGGTCTTGGGTTTGATTCCTGGTCAAGGGCACCTACCTGGGTTGCAGGTTTATCCCCGCCCCCAGTAGGGGTCGTGTGGGAGGCAACCAATCGACGTCTCTCTCACATCGATGTTTCTCTCTCTCTCCCTCCCTTCCTTCCACTCTATCTAAAAACAAATCAATGGAAAAATATCCTTGGGTGAGGATTCAAGAAAAAATATGCAGCAAGGGGATCACGCTGTTGAGGGTGGCCAGCAATATCTTGTTCCTTCTTTGAGTCCCGACTCTCCTATTTCTTCTGCAGGAAGTGTTAAGCCCAATAAATTTCTACGGCTGCTCTCCTGCTCAGGCCCCCCGCGCACACCCAGGTACAGCTGAGAAAACAGGACTGTGTGGAAACACTGGGTTTTGAACCCAAGTTTGACTCTACACCTGAGTTCTTTCTATTTTTTTTTTTTTTTATCCTCACCCGAGAACATTTTTCCATTTTTTTGTACAGATAGAGTGGGAGGGAGAGAGAGAGAGAGAGAGAAACATCGACGTGAAAGAGACACATCGAGTGGCTGCCACCCACACAACCAACCAGGGCCGGGGACAAACTGCAACCGAGGTACATGCCCTTAGCGGGAACCGAACCCGGGTCTCTCAGGACCTCAGGCCAATGCTCTAACCACTGAGCCAAACTGGCCAGGGCCTGAGTTCTTTCTCGAACCAGGTACTTCTTCCTTGAGCTGTGTGTCTCTGAGTGAGGCGAGGGGTCTGCCCATCAGGCTGACCCACTGTCCCCTGGAGAGACTCAAATGACCTTGTAGCCATTGCCTTTGCCTCAGGCTGTGAGGGGGAGACACCTGTTCACAGGTAGCCCGAGCAAAAGTGCCTGTATTGTCACTGAGGCACTTTGATATGTGTGGATCTTTGATAGGGCAGGGGCGAGGCTTAAGGGCTTTAGGGGGTTTGAGGAAATGGGAAAATCATGCTTATACGTGGAAGATTTACTATTAAAATGTGGGAAAACCCCGAGACAGTGCTTATTATTATAGCGGTAGCTCCAGCTCGTCCTGTGCCTTGGAGACCCTGCGGCTGTAGGTTGGTTTCTTTAGGGCGTATGCGACAGAGGACCCGGCCCTGCCTGGCTTTGGTGAAGAGAGTGACTTTGTAGTTACCAGGAAGCCTGGCTTCATAGGAGATTTGAAACGTGGTCTCTCGCTCTCTCTTTGGGTGTCCACAAGGGGCTTTCTAGCGTGGGGGTGGCAGGCTCGGGCACCCGCACGGCCAGCACAAGGGCAAGTCGGGGTTCTTTGCAAAGCCAGGCGCTCGCTCTCAGCAGCCGTGAATCATCCGGGTAGAGATACGGGCCGTTTTCCTGAGAAAGGTGTGGTGTGTGGGTCTGTGCAGGCGGGGCGCTGGACCCTGGTCTCCAGGGCACAGGGATGGGTGGATTTCCTGTGGCTTTGTCTGGGGTTGCCTGTGACATTTGGAGTCATTTCTGGGCTTCGATGCCCCCCATCCAGTACCGGAGATGGAACTGGTCGGGGATTGTAAGTCATCGAGGGCAGGATGCAGACATTTATGTTACTCCTTTGAGGGGAGGTGGAGAGAAATCAAGGATCTGTTGGTGGTGAGAATGTGGAGACGATGGTGTCTATAAAATTAGCATGTGCAGCCCTGCACAGCGCCTCCTTCCAAAATACCATTGTCCCAGGGCCACTGGGGGAGCCATTGGCTGTGCCCCTTCTTTCCTGCCACCAGGCTCGGCACTGGCACCACGCTCCGTCCGTGTTCAGAGTCCAAGCTTCTCATACCCATCTCGCCCTCTCCCCCCCCGGATGAAAGCAGGAGGGACAGATTGTTCTGTTACGAGACTCAGGGATCATCAGGTTTTACAGCTGATTCCTTCCCAGCTCCCAGGGTAAATGTCTGTAAATGACACGTCCTTAAGTCATATTTTTTTGGTAAATCATAGCAGGTAGGTAAGACAAGCAAGGTGATGTTGCTAAGAGACTGCGAGAAGACTTTGAGAGTGAATTTGTGTTTTTATCGTTTCGCAAACTTACGGAGCTTCTGTGTGCTGAGCACGAGAGAGCTCACGCGTGTCTTTGGCGTGGTCTCTGTGGTCTCCATCGGGAGTGGCTTACAGTCTACAGGAAGAAGGTTTAGAGAATATGATTCTTTTTTTTTATCCTCACCCGAGGATATTTTTCCATTAATTGTACAGATAGAGTGGGAGGGAGAGAGAAGAAGGGAGAGAGAGAGAGAAACCTCGATGTGAAGGGACACATCGAGTGGCTGCCACCCGCACGACCAACCAGGGCCGGGGACAAACTGCAACCGAAGTACGTGCCCCTAGCGGGAACCGAACCCGGGTCTCTCAGGACCGCAGGCCGACGCTCTAACCGCTGAGCCAAACTGGCCAGGGCGAGAATATGATTCTTCAATGCCCCATTTGTGGTTTTGGAGGGTTGGCTGGTTTCTCATAGACAGTATCATATATATATATATATATATATATATATATATATATATATACACACACACACACACACACACACACACACACACACACATATATATTTTTAAAAATTATTATTATTTTTAATCCTCACCCGAGGATATTTTTCCATTTATCTTCAGATAGAGCAGAAGGGAGAGAGGAAGAGAGAGAGAAACATTGACGTGAGAGAGACACATTGATTGGTTGCCTCCCACACATCCTCGACCAGGGCTTGGGACGAACCGCAACCAAGGTACACGCCCTTGACCAGAATTGAACCCAGGACTCCCTGAGCCATGGGCCAATGCTCTAATCGCTGAGCCAAACCAGCCAGGGCTCGAATAGATTTTAAAAGGAGAGACACCAGAGAAGACAAGGCGTTTGGAAAAGAGTACAGGGTAGCAGAGCAATAAATGCACAGACATCGGTAGTAATAATAATGGCAGTATTCCCGGTGGTATCGTGAACGTTCAGCCCTGCCCTGATAATGTTGCATCCGTCATGCAGGGACAGTGACACTGGAGACTGGGGGCCCTGTCTCAGCACGTTCCCTGTGACCCATAGTGGTCTCTATTATTTCAGAGGTAAAAGCTTAGCATTATAATTCAGTAGCCTCATAAATCCTCATGATGGATACAATATTGACTCGTTTTCACAAGTCCTGGTCATACAAGAGAGGCTATAACACTTCTATTTGTTTATTATATTCGCTAACAGTTATTTTTGCTGAGAGCCTCCTGTGTATAGGCTTGTTACATGCATCATCTCATTCAATCCCCCCTCACCTGTGAGGGACAAATATTATTCTTATCCCATTTTATTTGGGGGGAGGAGGAGGCTTAGGGAGATTAACTCACTTGTCCATGACCACACAGGTAGAAAGTGTCCAGGCTCTGACCCAAATCCTACCTGACCGGTCCATAGGGCAGTGCTTTTATTTTTTTATTTATTTATTTTTTAATCCTCACCCGAGGACATTTTTCCATCTTTTTGTTCAGGTAGAGTGGGAGGGAGAGACAGGAACAGACAGAGAGAGAGAAACATTGACGTGAAAGGGACACATCGAGTGGCTGCCACCCGCACAACCGACCAGAGCCGGGGACAAACTGCAACCGAGGTACATGCCCTTAGCGGGAACCGAACCCGGGTCTCTCAGGACCGCAGGCCAACGCTCTAACCACTGAGCCAAACCGGCCAGGGCTAGGGCAGTGCTTTTTTTTTTTTTTTTTTATCCTCACCCGAGGATATTTTTCCATTTTTTGTATAGATAGAGTGGGAGGGAGAGAGAGTGAGAAACATCGACGTGAAGGGACACATCGAGTGGCTGCCACCCGCACGACCAACCAGGGCCGGGGACAAACTGCAACCGAAGTACGTGCCCTTAGCGGGAACCGAACCCGGGTCTCTCCGGACCGCAGGCCGACGCTCTAACCGCTGAGCCAAACCGGCCAGGGCTAGGGCAGTGCTTTTAATGCCAGCTTTGCCACCTATGCTTGGAGCAGTGACCATCCAACACCCAGGGCAGGGGAGGGGCTGAGGGGGGAGGGGGCGGGGTTTGTCATGCCCATGCAAGTGTAGGGCTGGATCCTGTCCTCACTGGACATTTTCATCTTTTGTTCATCATGGATTTTTTAAAATTATTTGTCTTGGTTCCTGGGTTTTCCAGTGCTCGGGCAAGTGGAATCATCTCTGTTCTGTGAGTGAGCACCACAAGCCGTATGTGGTCAGGACCGTGCCCGAGGTCCCACGGCTGAACGTGCAGGAGCCGGGGTACTTGCCAGGTCCCCTGAGACCCAGGCCGGGGACCGCAGGGTGGCTTGTGGAGTTCTCAGGAACCTGCTTCCCTTCCAGGTCGGGAAAGAGGTTGAAGAAGACCCGCAAGTATGACATCATCACCACCCCAGCTGAGCGAGTGGAAATGGCCCCGCTGAACGAAGAGGATGACGAGGACGAAGACTCCACAGTATTTGACATCAAGTACAGGTACAGCGGGAACGGCAGCTCTGTTCACTTTGGACAACCCCGCCAGGCCAGGCATGTATTCTTGTTCCCTGGCCGAGTGTCTGACCTTGGGGTGTGCTGCTTGCGGGGGAGCTGCTCTGACCCCTACAACAGCACCCAGCACCCAGAGAGCTGACACAAATACGTACAGAAATGGTGATTCCCTACTTTCCCCAGATTCCAGCAGTGAAAAGTCAGCTTTACAAGAGGAAAGGGAGGCTTGAATTTCAGACAAGAAGCTGGCCATGCACTTGCTGTGGGGGATGTGGTTTGAGCCCCCCATCCGCCACACACCGTGCACACAGATGGAAACGTCTCTCTCAGCCTCTCTTACATTGATCCCCGAGAGCATGGAGTGGGAAAAGGGGTTACTCCTCGGCTGGAATTTACTGATGAGCTCCAAAGCCAGGTGCATTTCCTCAGGGTAGCCTGTCGGAAAGTCAGAATGATGTTGTGACTTCAGGAGTATAGGTGGTTTTCGGATCCTTCGGGGATGTAGTTCAGCTCTGTGGGGTTCTCACTGTGAGAGCTGGGGGTGAGCATTGTTTAGAGATGAGGGCTCAGGGGTCCAGAGACAGGATACTGCTTGCCCAGGGTCTCAGTTATTTGTGGCAAAGGTGAGACACAAATCCACGCTGGACCCAATCCTGAATGCGGCCCCCAGCCCCCAGGGCTCCCCAGAGAAACAGAACCAAGAATCCTATTTCTTTATAGAAGGAGATTCATTATAAAGGTCCAGGTGTAAGTTCCAGTCCCAGGGCACGAGCAGACCAATGTCCCACCTCAAAAACAGTCAGGTAGAGAGAGCGAATTCTCCTTCTTCAGCCTTTTCTGTTCAGGCCTCCAACAGGTTAGATAAAGCCCACCCACACTGGGAAGGCAATCTGCTACACTCAGCCTATGGATATAATTGTAAATATCATCCAAAAACACCCTCAGAGACATGCGCAGAATAATATTTAAGCAAATGTCTGGGCAGCCTGGGACCCAGTCAAGTTGACACATGAATTTGACCAGCACACACAGTTTTTCCACATCTTGAAAGGTAGGTCTCCCATACTTCCCTGACTTCTTCTCCAGCATGGCCTTGGCTATTCTTTAAAAAAAAAAAACATGTTTTTTTCTTTATTGATTTCTAGAGAGAGAAAGGGGAACAAGGGGGCAAGAGTGATAGAAACATCGACGAAATAGAACATCGATTGGTTGCTTCCAGCACGCCCCCTACTGGGGATTTGGCCCATAACCTGGGCATGTGTCCTGACCGGGAATTGAATGGGAGACCTCGTGGTACATGGGTTGATGCTCAACCACTGAGCCACACTGGCCGGGCTGCCTTGGCTAGTCTTAGCCCTTGGCCCTTCTGTATAAATTAGTAGTCAAATTTAGCAAAACGGTGTTTTGGATTTTGATTAGAGCTGTATGGACTCTATTGACCAGTTTAGGGAGAATCAGCCCGTTATGTTGACTTTTCCAATCCATGAACATGAAATGACTTTCCATTTTTTAGATATTCTCAAAAATGTCTTTCAGTACTTTAAAAAATGTCTTCATAAGTGTGTTATAAATTTTTGTTAGATATTCCCAGGTATTTTATATTTTGAGACATGTATGCTTTAAAAATACTATTTTCTTTGTACCCATGTGTAAGAAATTGGCTGTATTATTGTATTTACTTGCATTGCTGATATTGGAAATAGTTTGTCAATGAATCACACCTAGAAGACAGAAACAAAACACAGATTGGTTATAGATAGCAGAGTGGGGAACAAATCATTAGCTAAAATGTACATTTTTGGTGAAGAGCAGCATCCTTGGGGGAGAATCAAAACAATTAGTAATATTTATCCACACTGCAAAATAGTATACACATAAGAAAGTTAGGTATTTCATTGATTTTATGGCTAAGCCATTTTATCTGCCTCACATTCAATGCACAGAAATAAATCATAATGTGAAGAAAACTGTGTGTGTCCTTAGCCCTGGCCGGTTTGGCTCAGCCGTTAGAGCATCAGTCTGTGGACCAAAGAGTCTCAGGTTCGATTTCCGGTCAAGGGCATGTAACTCAGTTGCAGGTTTAATCCCTGGCCCCAATTGAGGTCGTGCAGGAGGCAACCAATCGATGTTTCTCTCCCCCCCATCCCTCCCTCCCTCCCACTCTATCTGAAAGTCAATGGAAAAATATCCTTGGATGAGGATAAAATAAATAAATATAAATAAAATCATTTAAAAAAAAGGAAAACTGTCCTCATCATTAGTCACAATAAAACAGGCCCACTGCATCCATAGGCCTGGGGGTTGGACAATAGGAGCACTTGATGACTTAAGTGGATCAACATGCTGTTCTGATTCTGAGCCACTGAACAGAATTTCATCCACATTTGGTGACCGAAATCACTCCTTGGGAGCCGTAATACGCTGAGCCATCTTTGTGGTTGCCTCAGATCTCACGAAACAAGAAAAAATCCTCAACAAGGAAATGTAAAAATCAGTTTGTCCAAAATTCTATCTACAGCCTGTTTCTTGAGGGTCAGGTGGAAAAGGAGGCCCTTTCTTGAGTACATGGATACAAGTATTATTGGCCCTTTCTTGAGTACATGGATACAAGTATTATTGGCCCTTTCTTGAGTACATGGATACAAGTATTATTGGCCCTTTCTTGAGTGCATGGATACAAGTATTATTGGCCCTTTCTTGAGTACATGGATACAAGTATTATTGGCCCTTTCTTGAGTACATGGATACAAGTATTATTGGCCCTTTCTTTAGTACATGGATACAAGTATCATTGGCCCTTTCTTAAGTACATGGATACAAGTGTCATTGTCATCTAAAGACTGCTAGATTGATACAGTGTTTGGTATAATGAAGACAAGGTACATACTGAAACTGTCACATTAAGAAACTTCCCACAACTTGTCTCAATTCTTCACATAATAAAGCAGGGTCCTTTTCCAGGCTGACAATTGGTGCTGTATTGGCATTTCTTCTGGCTATGCCAATCCCACCAAAGGCAAATGATTTTTAAAAAATTTTTCAGTTTTATTGAGGTATAAGTGACATACATTACAGTATAAATTTAAGGTGTACAGAATAATGACTTCACAGGTTGTGAAATGATTACCGCAATAATTTACAAAATTTATCTTCGCTTGTGATGAGAACTTTTAAGATGTATCTATCCTCTTAAGAACTTTATTATTTTTAAAAAATTTATTTTCTTTATTGATTTTTAGAGAGAGAGGAAGGGAGAGGGAGATAGAAACATCAATGAGAGAACATCGAGTGACCGCCTCTTCTTGCATGTCCCCCACTGGGGATTGGGCCACAACCTGGGCATGTGCCCTGACCTAGAATTGAACCAGTGACCTCTTGGTGCATGGGTCGATGCTCAACCACTGAGCCACACCGGCCAGGCTCTCTTAACAACTTTAAAATACACCATACAGTGGTGTTAACTATAGTCATCATGATGTACATTACATCCTCAGTACTTATTTATGTCATAAGTAGAGTTTGTATTTTTTGACCACCTTCACCCAATTCCTCATCCTCAACACCCCCACCTCTGGAAACCACAAATCTGATTTCTTTTTTGATGAGTTTGGTTGTTTCATATTCCACAGATAAGTGAGATCATACAGTATTTGTCTTTTTCAGTCGGACTTATTTCACTTAGCATGGTGTCCTCAAGTGTCATCCATGTTGTTGCAAATGGCAGGATTTCCTTCTTTTTTATGCTGAATAATATTCTACTGTGTCTATGTACACACACACACACACACACACACACACACACACACACACACCACGTTTTCTTTATCCATTTATCTGTTGATGGGCACTGAGGTTGTTTCCATGTCTTGGCTGTTGGAAGTAATGCTGCAAACATTTCTTTAGCACAGCGATTTTGTTTCCAAAGGCAAACCAATAAATGGAATCACTTGGTAGGTGTTAAGGTAACAGATGATTGTTTTGATTTAGAAAGGACAGCTTTGCTCCCTGTTCAGTTGCAAGGGCAACAGGAGGTAAGAAGCCGAGTCTCAAAGTGTGCTCTGGAGGATTTTCATTGTAACAGGCACCGTCTCTACCTGACCCAACAGCATGGGGCTCTTCCACACGTGGTGACTGGCGATAGGGGAATCCTTCCCCCCATCACCATTCAAAGCAGAAACTCAGGACCCAGCAAATCCATGAGTATTAGTCTTCTACTCCAGACCATCCGTCTTAATGAACCCCTGTGCCCTGCAGGATCAATTTCCACGCCTGGCTTTCTGTTTTCAGGGCTGCTAGCTTCTCCCTGCTGTCACTTTGGGGACAGCTTCAAAAAACAGGTTCCTCTGCAAGCTGTCATCACAAGACCCGCGACCTTGTCTCTGATACTTTTTAAAAAAATACCATTGTCTCACTTCTTGCTCATGAGGTCTAAAAATGCGGTTGATTAAAAAAAAATCCAGCAACTTTGCTAAATTCTTATTAATTCTAGTAGTAGAAATGGGAATTATTTTGGATTTCTGTATAAATATATCATCTGAGACTAATCCTTTCCAAATCCCTCAACATTTTATTTCTCTCTCTCTCCCTATCTATACTAATTTTTGGCCATTGTCATTTGTTAAGTGATGATAATAGGCATCCTGTCTTGTTCTTGATCTTTTAGAGCATACTTTCATTATTGACCACAAAAAGTAGTGTTTACTATAGAGTTTTGTAGAATTTAAAAAAATATGTTTTATTGATTTTTAATTTATTTTTTCTAGAAACAGTACTTTATAACATGTAGTTCAATAACCTTCATAGTGATTTTTAAAAATATATATATATTTGTATGGATTTCATTTTTGGAGAGATAGATAGAAACATTGATGCGAGAGAGAAACATCGATAGGCTGCCTCCTGCACACCCCCTACCAGGGATTGAGCCCAAAACCTGGGCAATTTGCCCTGACTGGGAATCGAACTGGGGCCTCTCAGTTCATGGGACA